TTGTGCTTATTTCAAGAGGTCTGGTGATAACGATTTTGTTATATTGCTGTTGTATGTGGATGACATGTTGGTTGCAGGACCCAACAAAGATCATATTGAAGAATTAAAGGCACAACTGGCTAGGGAATTTGAAATGAAGGACTTGGGATCAACAAACAAGATTCTAGGGATGCAAATTCACCGAGACAGAAGTAATAGGAAGATTTGGCTTTCACAAAAGAATTACTTGAAGAATATCTTGTCACGATTCAGCATGCAAGATTGTAAGCAAATTTCTACCCCTCTTCCTATTAACTTCAAATTATCCTCCAGTATGAGTCCTAGCAGTGAAGAAGAGAGGATGGAGATGTCTCGAGTACCGTATGCATCAGCAGTGGGAAGTTTAATGTTCACTATGATATGCACAGGACCAGACATTGCACAAGCAGTGGGAGTGGTTAGTCGGTACATGGCGAATCCAGGCAAAGAGCATTGGAATACAGTAAAGAGGATCCTGAGATACATCAAAGGGACCTCAAATGTTGCATTATGTTACGGAGGATCAAACTTACTAATCAATGGGTATGTAGATTCTGACTATGCATGGGATTTGGATAAAAGCAAATCTACAATAGGATATGTGTTCAAAATTGCTGGTGGAGTTGTAAGCTGGGTTTCAAAATTGCAGTCAGTTGTGGCTACATCCACAACAAAAGCAGAATATGTAGCAGCTACACAAGCCAGTAAAGAAGCAATTTGGTTGAAGATGTTATTGGAGGAGCTTGGGCACAATCAAGAGTATGTCTCTATGTTTTGTGACAATCAAAGCGCCTTGCATCTAGCAAGAAATCCAGCATTTCATTCAAGGACAAAGCACATACGAGTTCAGTACCATTTGATTCGTGAAAAGGTGGAAGAAGGGACAGTGGATATGCAGAAGATCCATACCAAAGACAACATAGCAGATTTCATGACGAAGACGATCAACACTGATAAATTTACTTTGTGTCGATCCTCTTGTGGCCTGTCAGAGACGTAAGCAACATGATTGTACAAGGTAGAAAGAATGGTGTGAAGATATGATTGTTCCAATTAAATCTTCAAGTGGGAGATTGTTGAAATGTCAAAGCTTGGAGAAAATTGGTTCAAGTTAGGCACCTAATATTGCAATGTCAAAATTAGGTGCAACAATGTCAAAATTAGGTGCAACAATGTTTGAAAATTAAATGGGTAAATTACAAACTTTAGTCACTAAACTTTAGGGTATTTATAAGATTAGTCCTTAAGTTTCAACTATAAATACCCTAGCTCATTTAGCTTCAAAACCATCTCAAGCATTCTAGCTTTCTTCCAATACTAGAGAGATTTTAGAGAGTTTCTTGAGAGTTGTTTTCTCCTTTTTATCTAGAGAGAATTATCATTGTTTTCTCCTTGGTAGATCGAGAGAGGTTGTAATTCCTATTTTCTCATAGTGAAATTCTTCTACCGTTGCCCGTGGTTTTTACCCTAAATATTTTAGGGGTTTTTCACGTAAATTTTGTGTCTCTTTTATCTTCATTTTTATTTTCTCAAATTATCAGTTGCGATTTTGCTCTATCCGATAGCTGTCTTCCGCAACACTTTCTATACATGTTTAGCATTGATTTTGAAAAAGTATGGTTTGCAGTCGAAAAGAAGCAGCCAAAAGCATTTTTTCGAATGCAACTCATAACCATGCTTTTCTCCTTCAATATGTTGCTTAAGAACAATTGTGTGGCTATCAATCTCTTTGCAGGTGGGTGGTAGCTCAAAGTGTGTTCTATCACTTGTATAATAGGTTTCATACATGTCTCTGGATCAAATTTCTCCATTGACATTTAGCGTTGGGAACACGATGAAGAGGATCTCAGTTATTGTCTCGTCTATCATCGTCTTCCACACGCCTGTTCAGCCGATTAATGCTCTTGGAGCCGCCATTGCAATCCTTGGAACCTTCCTTTATTCACAGGTATATGCTGTATCTCTCTTTACTCAATTTGATGCCTCAAAGGACAAATTTGCCCTGAATATGGCGACAACCGTTTGAGTCATCAAAATAGCAGTATAAAGATTCAAAACAAGTACTTCCTGCTTTGATTTTTCTAATGTTAACCTATGCTTTTGAGCAGGCAAAGCAGTGAGGAAGTTGAAGGATTTCAAGATTTTGGTGAACTGACATAAAAGAAAATAGAAGCTATGTGAGATGAATATTTGGCAGCCTTTTATTTATTGATTATCTAAGAAAAAATATTTATGATCTTTGCACTCTTTCAGTGCACACAATTTTAACTAGTAGATTTTTCATTTCCTTTTCCTTTGTCATTTTTGTAAAGGAAAATGCAATCTAATAGTATATTTTATGTAAAAAAAGGTTAAAAGAGGTGTTTAAGCTTGAACTTCATGATAATTTTTTAGTATAATCTAATAGTATATTTTATGTTTTCATGATACGATTTATCTTATATATAACATCAATAAAAAATTTAAAATTTACAACATATTTACAAAATAAAAAAATAAATATATTTTTTAAAAATTAAGAAATAGAATTAAGTACATATAGGCCACTACTTTTTTTAACTAATCTAGATCGGGTACTACAAAGACGATGGTGACCCTCTCAATCTAGTTTGCTCCATTCGCAAACGTCAAGATTCAAACCCCTGGCCTTACTTAAGGAATCTCGTGCCTCATCTCACTAAATCAACTACTTGTTGGTATATAGGCCGCCACTTTAGATGCTATGTTAACGTTAAAAAATTAGGGTAAAATATATAAATGGTCTCTGACTATAAGGTGTTGCTTTGTCAAGTCTCCTAATTATTAAAAGTTACATAATGATCACATGACTTTTTATATGTTCCAAAATCACCCCTTTTTGTAAAAAAATTGGCGTTTGTCTCAGTCGGAAGTTTAAGCTATTGACTAAAATATGAGAAAAATCATATTTTAATGATGTCTACTGGTACCTTCGTTGCTTTTAAGCACTGACTCGCTATCATAATGTTTCAAGTACTGGTTCAACAATATAATGTAAACAAAGATTTGATCAATAAAATATAGCTAAAATGATTTTGGTATCAGATTTTATCATAACTCAGTCAACAGATTAACGTTTATCTCATATGGTCGTTAATTTTTAACGGAAAAAGACGAATTTGTTACATATGAATAGTCGGGTGACTGTTTTGTAACTTCTAATAGTTGGAGAACTCAACAAAACAATATCATATAGTTGAAGGACCATTTTGTAACTTTTAATAGTCAAAAGACTCAACAAAATAATATCATATAATCAAGAGACCACCTATATACTTTACCAAAATTTTATTATTTTAAACAACACTTCTATTAAAAAATCAACTTATCGTCAATGACTATGAATCACTGGTAAGAAGTGAATAGCAAGTTCCACATTCTTTCTTTCTTTCTTTTTTACTTATTTATACCTGATTCGATCTTCCATTAACAAGGTTAACAACACTGAACTAGTTGCTTCCAGTCCCAAGCATTAGCAGATGCAAATCATTCAACGGAATATGTTAAACAAATTTGAAATGGCTAACTGGGGTTGGGGCTTAGCCCAATGTTGCATAAAAGCAGAAAATTACGCAGACATGTCTGCAAAATCATAGACAAGTTGGTTCGGCGTGGAAGGTGATGAAGTATATCTTTATGGAAACGAATTTGAATGGAGCTGATTCTTCTGTAAATATCCTCTTCCCATCATATATTTATTGCATTCCCCACCTTTTGCTGCTGACATTATGTCAATTTAATCATTTGTTTTCATTGGGTAAAGTATGTAAATGGTCCTCCGACTATATGGTGTTGCTTTGTTGAGTTCTTTGACTATTAAAAGTTATAAAATAGTTCTCGTGATGTTGCTTTGTTGAGTTTGACTATTAAATGTTACAAAATGATCATCTATTTTCATATGTTCCAAACTCGTCCCTTTTCAATAAAAAAATTGGCGATCGTTTGAGTTTTACGTTAATACGTTGACTGAGTTATAATAGTCGTTTGAGATTCTGGGATCAGATTCTAATATATCTCGATCAACAGGTTAATGTCCAACTCAGATTGGCGTCACTTTTTTAATGGAAAATGACGAGTTTGAAACATATGAATAGTCGGGTCACCATTTTATAACTTTTAATAGGCGGGGACTCAACAAAGCGAAGTCCTATAGTTGAAGGACCATTTTATAACTTTTAATAGTCGGATGACTCAATAAAATGAAATCCTATAGTCGAGACATTTGTGTACTTTATCCATTTTTATTCCTGTTTTCTGGTTGGTTAACATCTCATCCATCCGTCTGCCTAATTGGTTTTGTTTAATGCCTGTACCGTTCCTCAATTATTTGATGTTTGTCCCAACTCCTTATCTTAATTCCATATATATTCAAACTTTTTTGGTCACAGGCCTATCAAATTAGATAAAACTTTTTCATCAAGTACATTCAAACTTTAATAGTATGAAATTCTTTGATTGTGTCACCTTCTTACAAGAAGAAAAACCTCACCCAGTTCAAATTTATTAGTTGACCCTATTCTCATATGTAATGGGGTAAAGTAGTAGGTTGCCTCAACGTTAGGTTGAGGGCAACTTCCGTGGAATACCTCCGGCAATTTATGAATTGCCCACCGTGGGACTCGATCTCACGACCACAAGGTTAAGAGCCTTGCGCTCTACCAACTGAGTTGGACGGGCAATTCCAGTTCAAATTTATTGTTGTTGTTAAACAATTAGAAATCTTAATTAGTACTTTGCAAAAGCATATTTAGCAATTAACGGTAATGCTGGACTGACTGACCCTAAGTTGCTAATGAGCAAGAGTTGGCCCGAAGAAAAGTTACTTTTTCCGAGTGGAAAGGTTTGGTTTTGGACAATGATGGTCGTTAGGCTTTTGTCTTTGTCAGCTTTTCTCTTGATATGTGCCATTTTATACTTGACCCTGCAGGCAGGGAAACTTTTGGCTGATATGGGAAACATTATTCTTCAAAATTATTAATCACACACACAGACGAGAAAGGAGATAAAAATTGATCGGACACGAGTATCCGGTGTGTATTCATATCCAACCATTACCGTCCAAATCCGAGTTAACATCAATTATCACTGCCGTCGTCAATTCAACAGTGTCATTGCTCCCTTTTACACTTTTCCTGTGTATAAATTTCTCCCCCTGCATCAGTCACTTGGCACCCCAAACTTTCTTCAGTGACTTCTTATTTAGCTTCTATTCTCCTGTCATGGAGCTCACAGTCTTTGTGTTAGAGACGTGTTTCATAATTCTATCATTACTATGTTATCCATTGCCTCTAAAGGGGAATCCAAATGCATCCCCGTTCCCCAGTAACTTCCTGTTCGGAACAGCCTCTTCGTCTTATCAGGTTCTTTTGCCTTTTATTTCCAAAGTTCAAAATCAATTTGTTTTTTTAGTCACAAATGGACAGTCAATTCTGTTTAATACATTCTTTTTGCCAGTTTGAAGGAGCTTTCTTGAGTGATGGCAAAGGCCTAAACAATTGGGACGCATTTACGCATAAGCCTGGTTAGATTTGCTCATATTATACGAAGTTCAATGCTTTGCCCCTTTGATGCTCAAAACATTTATATAATGTGGACTTTTTTTACAGGCAATATCTTGGATGGAAGCAATGGAGATATTGCTGTTGATCATTATCATCGATACCAGGCAATGATAGTTTAAAAATTAGACTGTATTTCCTTCAAACATCCAGCATACTCATTTCAGAAAAAAAAAACCATGAAATGCCTAATGATTTTCGAACAGGAAGATTTGGATTTAATGCAGCGCATTGGGGTCAACAGCTATCGTTTCTCCATTTCATGGGCAAGAATCCTACCCAGTGAGTTTTTTTTCTTGAAAAAATGATTGAGTTTGACATGATTGGTTTTCAGTATCTTAATCCCAAACTGGCTTAATCCAGAGGGAAGATTTGGAAGTGTTAATAAAGCTGGTATCATGCACTACAACAAGCTGATAAACACCCTTCTCCTTAGAGGTCACTCTCTACTTCCCCTTTATGTTACTCGGACTCGAATATAAGTGTATGGTACGAGTCTTTTTTTTTCATGTTTCTGGAGAATCATCACTCTCAGGAATTTTATCTCAGGAATTCAACCCTTTGTGTCATTGACACATTATGACATTCCCCAAGAACTTGAAAACAGATATGGGGCTTGGTTAAGTCCCCAAGTGCAGTAAGTGGCAATTTGTCTTGCTATTGTATCTTCATCTAACGTATATGGGGATAGGCTTCAATTAATTCAAGAATTTACACATTTTCAGGGAAGATTTCAAGTATTATGCAGATATATGCTTCAAATACTTTGGGGACAGGGTGAAGTACTGGAGTACCTTCAATGAACCTAATGTTGCAGTAATCCGTGGTTACAGAACAGGAGTGTACCCACCTTCTCGTTGCTCAAGCTCATTTGGGAATTGTACTGATGGGGATTCTGAAAAAGAGCCTCTCATTGCTGCCCACAACATCATCTTGTCACATGCTGATGCTGTCGATATTTACAGAACCAAATACCAGGTAAATTAAAAAATAACCAAAGTCAAAACTCTATATGTTACTAGAATTCGGGTATTTGATACGAGTATGGTTGTTGGAAAACTATAATGTCCCTTTGTCAATTGTGCAGAAACAACAAGGGGGTAGCATTGGGATTGTTATGAATGCCATCTGGTATGAACCTATAAGCGAATTCTTGGAAAACAAACAAGCAGCTGAGAGAGCTCAAGCTTTCTACATGAACTGGTAAGAAATCAGGCATTGATAGGAAATCTCAAAGGCTTTTGCTCTGACTCTCTTTATTGCTCCAGGTTCTTAGATCCAATCATAATGGGGAAATATCCTGAAGTTATGCAAGAAATCCTAGGGTCCAATTTGCCTGCATTTTCAAATCATGAACAGGAGAAACTAAAGAGAACTGGACTTGATTTTATTGGTATCAATCACTATACCTCTTTCTACGTAAGGGACTGCATGTTTTCTGTGTGTGAACAAGGACCAGGAACTGGAAGTTCCAAGACAGAAGGATTTGCCTTAAGAACTGCAACTAAAAATGGGGTCTCCATAGGCAAACCGGTATCAAACTTAAAACAAATCTACAACCATAAACAAAACCCAGATTTTCTTTCCTGGAAAAACACTTATTTTTCTCTTTTATTTTTTCATATAGACTGCACTTGACTGGCTATATGTTCATCCCCAAGGAATGGAGAAGATGATAGCATACATAAAAGATAGGTACAATAACATCCCAATGTTCATCACAGAAAATGGTGAGTTGAAAAAAAATTACATCAATAATTGCTGTTGTTGGAATTTCATCAATAATTGCTGTTGGATTATTAGGGTTCTGTGAGAGTGACAAATCAGAAAAAGGCCTTACTGAAGAGTCACTCAATGATGCGAACAGAGTGGAATACCTCAGTGGCTATCTGGATGCCGTTGCAGAAGCTTTGAGGTACCAATCTCATCAATGTTTTTCAGTACCAAAGTACACATCTTAGGAATTGTGAACAAACCCAGGATTTGGAACCATTTTTTCCTTCTTATGCAAGAATTTTTTTTTTGTTGATGAAAACAAGCAGGAAAGGAGCAGATATAAGAGGGTACTTTCTGTGGTCCTTGTTGGACAATTTCGAATGGACATTGGGGTATACAATTAGGTTCGGGATTCACCATGTTGATTACACCACTCTCAAGAGAACTCCAAGAACATCAGCACTTTGGTACCAACAATTCATTGCCAACCACACTGGTTCAAAGATTTTAATGCCATCAAAGACCACATTTCAACACCATTTGAAAAGCTGTCTAAAAAAATAACGGTATCATTGCCGTGAATTTCGCTGATTCAAGTTTTGTAAGTTTATTCTGGCTGCTGAACTCTGTAAATTATTTATTGGAAATCTATAGTTCACTTTTAGTGCTAAAAAGAATTACCCAACAGAAGATAAGGGATTAATCTCTTCTGGTATTTGTTACCCAACGTTTAATGGACTTTCTGGATTCACTGTTAGGTTCAGACTTGACCATGTGGACTATCAGATCCTGACAAAAAATTATTGTCTGCAACTTTGATTTGATTTAACGTAAAAATTCACAAATAATTATTTTAGCATTTATCATTTATTTTTTATTTTTTATTTTTTATTTTATTTATTTATTACACTAACCGTTTTTTAATTTTTAGTAATATATTATTTTAATAAATAATATTTTTATCAGATATGATAATATATCACATCAATAATTAAAAGTATGTCTTGAGGTACCTAAACCCCTAAGATGACTTTATGAACCTAAAGTGAGGATCTAAAATCTAAAAATAACCCAAAAGATCGCTAGGTCAGTTTGTAACGTCTGAAGGTCTTAATTGTTTTTTTTTAATAATTCATATGGGAAATTTTACTCAATATTCAAATAATAAAACACTAATAATAAATAATTAAAGTTTTGAAAAAATTCCTTTAGATATCATTTAATTTTGTATGTTGAATCATTTATATCATTGAACTTTCAGTTTTACTAATTATAATATTAAATTTTAATTTTACATTCAATTATGTCACCACGTCGTTAAGTCATTCACGGGACGATGACATGACTAATGGTCGATTACATAGCATGTCACACTAAAACACTGTCGTCTTGGTGTGACTGTTTTGATGGCTAAAACGATACTGTTTTAGATATTGAACTTTGGGGTTGTATTGATTTTGCCACTGAACTTTTAAACAAATTACTTTTTTGGTACTGCACTTTACGGTCATCATCAGTGGCCAATCACTACCCCTCACCGATAGTCTTTCGCGGTAAAATTGGTACTAAATATTTGTATTTCACTCCTCATTCTTCTCATATATTTAGTTTTCCACAAAACCCAATCAAAACCGACAAAATTAGACAAAAAAATATCATTTTTTAAATGTTAGGAGATTTTCTTAGATTTATGGGATTTGAGGAGTTTGTTTGAAAATTTGAACAGTGGAAAATATTATTTCGAGAATACGAACAACATACCTCATAACTAGCCTTATCAAACAATAATCGAAAGAGATCAGAGTATTAATACGTCAAAAATTTAAATGGATTTTTATCGATTTTGAGTGGATTTAGTGAAAAACCAATCCTATGAGAAGAAAGATGAGTGAAATAGGAACACTTTGGTACCGATCTTGCCATAAAATATGACTGATGATGAGCGATACTTGGCTGCTGACGACGACCAAAAGGTGCAATGCTAAAAAAGAAAATTGTTTAACAATTTAATGGTAAAATCGATATACCCCTAAAGTTCAGTGTCTAAAACGACGTAGTTTTAGGTATCAAAACAATTGTACCAAAATGATATCATTTTTGGTGTGACAAATCACATCAACAATTGTTCGCCATGTTATTGTCCGTTCTTGACTTAACGGCGAAGTGGTATAATTGAAGTGAAACTAAAGTCCAGTACTATAATTGACAATATTGAAAGTTTAGTGATATAAACGAATCAACGGACAAAATTAAATGGTATCTGAAGTAGTTTTCCCTAAAAAATCATCTAAAAAATTAGTTTAACAGAAAGATAAAATATTAAAAATTAATATATTTAAAAAATAAAGATTAAAATAATTAACATTATATCAAAAATAACTTGGGGACAATCTCAGATTTCATTGGAATGATATTTAAAAAAAAAAAGGTAAATAAATTTGAAGGATAAATTCAAAAGAAAATTTGAATGTTGTCTATTTATTTTCTTTTTTTAATTCTTCGATCAATTCAAAATTTAGAATTTTAGAGTTTTATATATATATATATATATATATATATATATATATATTATTGCTATTAACATTGGGGAAAAAAACTTCTATAAACAATAAAGTAAAATATTTTCAATTTTAAAAATGTTTTTAAAACATTTGACTTTGATAATTAAAATGGTCAATTCTTATCAAGTAACAACATTTGTGTAAACAAAGTTTTATGTTGATCTTTCAAGCCTGATTTAATTGCGTAGGCTGTAGCTTTTAAATTTGAAATTTATATAAAAATATTTTATATAAATGTAAACCTGATGACTGAGATATGATAAAATCTAATCACATAATCATTTAAGATGTATTTTGTAGATTGACTCTCCGTTTACATTATGTCATTGAGTCAGTGGTTGAAATATTATGTGGAGCTAGTGCTTGAAAGCAATTATAGTGCTATTAGATATCATTAAAATATGATTTTATCATACCTTAGTCAATAGGTTGACATTCAGCTCAGTCGACCATCAAAATTTTAACAAAAAATGACGAGTTTTGAATAAATGTGTAGTCAAGTGATCATTTTATAACTTTTAATAGTCGAATGACTCAATAAAACAACACCTTATAGTTAGGGGTCATTTTGTAACTTTTAATAATCAAGAAACCCAACAATACAACGCCTAGTCGAGAGATCATTTGTATATTTTACCCTAATTTTAACTATAATTAAGGATGAACACAATATCTTATGATAAATATGAATTTATAAAATTTTACAGAGGGTAAAAATATTTCACTGGTAAAAAAATATAATTAAAAAATCTAAATTATATGAAAATTTAAGATTTTCGGTGACTACCTCTATCAGCCCATCAACTCATCCCTAACTACAATAGTTAGGATTATTATCTGATCTATTGACGGTAGAGAAAATATTTCAGATATAAAATTATATTGATGGTATCTATTTTATTAGGATTTAGAGTTTACAATTTAAGATTTAGAAATTAAAAATTAGGCACTAGAGTTTAAAATTTAGCGTTTAGAATTGTATATGCATATAAATAGGCGGCATGCTTGTGGAGTCTAAATTGAATATCTGGATTAACTAATGATATTATAAAAGTATAAGGACTCAATTATAATAAACTAGAGTAAATGGACTAAACTTAAAATGTTAGCATAGTAGAGTGACCGAATTCAAATTTAACCGTAAACATACTTATCCAAATTTTTAATCAGACTTTGGTCAAAGCCTGTAAAAATATACGGAATGGAGGTTTACAGAGAACTCCAATATTATAATATAGTATATTGTCATTGGTCAAGGTTGGCATGCAAGCAAGAAAGCAACTACCCTACACCATTCATTGCATCCAAATCCTATCAATTCTGTTGATATTTCTACAATAAATCATTCTATATATTTATTGGGATTTGTTGATGGCTGAAGCATCGGCAAATTGGATATATTTACAAAGCCATGGAGTTTTCTTTGCTTTGCATTGGTTACGTTGCCTTCCATGTGTTCATGTTATTGCCTCTTCCAATTTCATCGGAGCTGCTGACGCTGAAACAAAGCTTTGGTGATAACCCATCTCTGTTTCCTCCAAATTTTCTCTTCGGGACAGCCTCTGCTGCTTACCAGGTTTGCTTTCTCGTCATTCTTTCAATCTCTTTATCTTATATATATATATATATATATTATGTACATGTATATATGGTTGTATATGAGAACTTTTTTCTTGTATTTCTGGCAGTATGAAGGTGGTTACTTGAGTGATGGCAAAGGGTTGAACAACTGGGATGTTTATACCCATAAACCAGGTGATTGATGAGCTCCCTTCACCGGAATTCAACATTGGATTTGAAACTTTCTTCTGTCTATTGAAAAAGATGTTTTCCGTGTTTAACAAAAGAAAAGAGGGAATGTAATGTATTGCAGGAAACAATGGTGACATAGCGTTGGATCATTATCAACGCTACTTGCTAAGCTTACTTTTGTTTTTTATACATTAAATTATATGCAGATAATCATCAATAAGTTAAGGGTAAAGAACACAATGGTCCCCTTATACAGTGCTGCTTTGATGAGTCCCCACTATTGAAAGTTATAAATTGGTCCTTTAATTATAAGGTATTATTTTGTAGTCCTTTTACTATTAAAAGTTATAACATAATCATTTAACTATTTATATGTTCAAAACTCGTATTTTTCTGTTAAAAAAATGATGGTCGTTTTAACAAACGATAACATGCTCATTGAAATATGATAAAATATAATCCCAAAATTATTAGAGCTGTATTTTATGGATCAAGTCTCTATTTACATTATTTCGTTGAGTCAGTACTTGAAAGCAATGACAGTGCCAACATACATCATTAAAATATAATTTTATTATATTTTAGCTATTAGAAAATGATAAGTTTGGAATATATGAATAATCAGAAAACCATTTTATAATTTTTAATAGTTGAGAGACTCAACAAAATAATGTCCTATAGTCGGATGATCATTTTATAATTTTTAATAGTCATAGAATTCAACAAAGAAACACTCTATAATTGAGAGACTCAACAAAGTAACACCCTTAAGATATTATTTGTGTGGTTTACCCATAAATTTATAAGTTATTAGAAAGTACATATATTTTTATATTTTTTATAGTTGAATTTTTCTGTATACGGATAATGAAGACATATATTATTAATAAATTATATATATATATATATAATATTACGAGTTTGTATTTGATATAATAATAATATAAGTATACGCTATAAATATAATATATAAATATTCCTAATATATTGCAAAATTTTTACTCTCTACTTATTGATGAACATGTACAAGGATAACATGCATTTGGAGTTAAAATTAGGTCAATATAGTGACCACATACTTAAAGGTATATTTGCATTCTTGAATGAAATTTTCTTCAAAAATATTGCATAAATAATTGCAGATTTGGTCATTTTCTACAGGGATTCAACCATTTGTAATTTTGAATCATATTGATCTTCCCCAAGAGATGGAGGACAGATATGGAAGTTGGCTGAGTCCTGAATCACAGTAATCAATCTCTTTTTTTTCTAGTTTTTTTTTCAAACGAAAATGGTAATTTATGCTCACTAATGTGTTTTTTTAACTTTAATTTTTGCAGAATGGATTTTGCATATTTTGCAGACTTGTGCTTCAAGTAATTTGGAGACAGGGTGAAGTATTGGATCACTTTCA